TTTCCTTTTGTTTTTGTTTTGTGGAACCGGGGATTGAACTCAGGCCCTTGCGCTTGCCAGGCAAGCACTTATTCTACTGAGCTATGTCCCTGTCCCCAAATTAAATTTAAAAAACCCACAAAACATAAAAACATGGGGTACATGCTTCCTGGTACCAGAAAATAAAAAGACAGGAATAGGTTGGGGAAGTATTTATAAAGCATATGTCAGGAAAAAAATGCATTTGCAATCTCTGAGGAATCCTCAAAGCTCAATTAAGAAACAATATTTTTTTTAAATGGACATAATAAATGAATTGACACTTTGCCAAAGAAGATTTTTGACTGATAGGTATGACTATGATTTTTATGAATGATGATTTGTGAATTATATGTGAGAAGATGGCCAACACACATAGGAGGACAATACAAATTTACAAATTAGAATCAAAATGAGATATTGCTACATATACACATACTAAAATGGTTATAATAAATAAAATATTGTTTCAGATATTAGCAAACATTTATAACCCTCTTACATTTCCTACATGATAATGTGTGTCTTTTTAAAATGTTGAACACAAACTTTCTATATGACCTAATGATTCTATTCTTAGAAATCAACTCACAAAAGATTTAATTGTATCTCTATTCTAAGTACAAGAATATTCATTACAGCATTATTCATAATAACTTCAACATGAGCCCAAAACAAAATACCAATAGACTGGAGAATGAAGGAATAAAATGTAATAAATGAATACACTACTGATACAAATTAACACAGGATGAACCTCAAAAATGCATTGCTAAGTGAAAGAAATAAAGTACAGAAAAATATTATACATTATATAATTCCACTTAAGTGAAATTTAGAAAAATACATTTTATATTACTAGGAAGCAGAATAATAGAGACCTAGGAGTAGAAGTAGGGATTATTAAGAAAATTTTTGATAATGGAAATGTTCTAAATCTGGACTGTGGTTACAATTGCAGAACTCCAAATTTGTTAAACATCACAAACAATATATGAATTTTATGGTACACAATATACCTAACTAATACTCTTAAGACAATAAAAATAAAAATATTTCCCTTGTTTTTATCTTTGAATATCACACCATGGTTTTAATACATGTTCAAAGGACTTTTGTCTAATAGGATTCAAAAAGGCTACTGATGAGTAACAAAATAAAATTCCATTTTGGCTGGTGTAACTAGTACTATGGTATGACTAGATATGACCACAGTAATTAATAGTCTTAGCACCATAAATTCAAAATCTTGCTTGTTGCCTTGTCTCCCACAGTTCTCCATGTTGGCACTTTTAGCTTTCTCATTTTTAATTATCCTTCCTCAAAACTGGAGTACTTACACCAGTGCCTTCAGACACAAGCCATATCAAATGCTCTGGTATCTAGGAATAGTCTTTTCTTTGCTAATAAGAATATCCTGACTAAATTTGGTTGTCAGGTACCTGAGTCATATATATGTCCTTATCATGTCTCTCATTCTGAGGTATCCTATGTTTATTTAGAAGTAGAACTGTCTTGTATGTTTAACCCACAATCACTATACATGGTTCATTTCTCCACAAATATATTTCAGAAGTCCTAGGAAATGTCTTTTGTCAATTCCACCAGTATCTTTCTTTGGAACTTTTAAGACTTCTAAGTATTTATTTATTTATTTATTTATTTATTTATTTATTGGAGCACAACATATATTTTCAGAGTGAAATAAAAAACTAAATTTTCATCTGCATATTTATTAGCAACCAACTAGCCAACCTATTGCTGCCACAAAGAGAAGAACCTCTGAATTCAATGAAAGAAATAATCTCAGGATCTAGTTTGGGTAGGAGAAAGAGAAAGGAAGAGAGAGAAATGATAAATGATAAAACAGTGCATACACTCCTCCAAGATGTGCGAGTTCTAATCTCTGGAAACTATAAAGGTGATATACATGACAAGAGATAGTTTTCAGGTTTGATTTAAAAAGTTAATATCAGTTTAGCACGAGACTCAACCAGCAGTTGATGTCTTTTAAGATGGAAGGAAACCACAAACCAAGGAACAGAAGCTGCCTCTAGAAGGCAGAAAAAGCAGGAAAGTTAGTAATCTGGAGTGCCTAAAAGGAATGTAGGTCTTCAAACACCATCACATTAGCTCACAAAAAACTATTTTGAACTTCTTCCTCCAGAATTACAAGATGATAAATTTGTGTTAGTTTAAGCCAACAGGATCATAGTGACTTATCATAACAACAACAGGAAACTAATAAGGAATCAAATTGCCAAATGCAGAAAACTAAACCTCAAGAAGGCAAAAAAAAGAGTTGGAAACTGATGGCAGGCAGAGAACACATATTGGTCAACACAATCAGATTTGCACACCAACTGCGAACCTTTATGGAGGTAAATTGGATTCATTAAAAAAATATTCCTCATCTCAGAAGCTAACAGTTATAAAATGTCTTCATGCCTTTTGTAAAATCCAGTAGAAGTTTCCTTTTTTTCTCGGTTTTCTTTTCTTTGTCTTCTTTCATGGTTTCTAATATTTACCAGAACTTTTGTATAAGCAAGCTACATCAGTTTCATTCAGAACAACCACCATCTGTCTCATGTTTTATTCTGTTATTTTCTGGTTCTCATAGTTGCAATGAATCACATTATAAAAATAATGATTTTAAAAATCATTAATTATAACTGCATATTATTTATATTATTATTTAACATAATAGAACAATTAGAAGTCACAGAACATAATCTACAAAGGACTAGTATTCATTATTTACATTCAATAAATACCTATTGCTAAGTCTGTACCCCAATTTTGCCTATTTCTAAGTGGGCTTTTTAAACTGAATGCTGGCCTTACCACACTCTGGCCGAGCTGCTCCCGAAAGAAATAATCCATATTTCTCTTTTGCAGGCTGTCAAGATAATGCTGGAAGCGCGTATATGTGTATGGGTAGCAGTAAGCAAACTGGTAAATATCTTCTTCTTGGTCAAAACAGAATGCAAAGGACATCACGTAATTCTTCCTATGGTCTGGGCATCGATAGTAGTAAACATTTTTAGGTGGCAGCCTTTGCCTGAAATACAAATAAAGAAATTTGGGCATATCAGATAGTAGTTTAAGCTTCAAAAGATAACAAACAAGAATCAATGCCTAGAAACAAAATTATAGCATGAAAGACTCCAGGTGATGGAGGTGGGAGGATGGAGAAACTCTGTTCAAAATTTGGCTCTACCATTTTTTGAACTCTTTAGAAGATCCAAAGCTAAACAAAGACAAAACAGCTTTATATATTTGTTTACCCTGATTTTGAACACTTGTAATATTCCTAGGAATTATGATCTGGTCTTGATGTACAATGGGAAATATGATAAGCAAGTTCTCATTCTTCATAGATTACATATCCTAATAGGAAAATGGTCAATAAAACATTAAAGATGAATAAGCCATGTAGTTATGTGCTCTAAAGCTTCCTTGAAGGGAAATAATGAATGTGACATTAGACATAACTGTGTAAGACCACTCTTTACAGGGAAACCAGGTTTGTATTCCCCTCCTTTTTTCTTTTTCATACAAGAGTAAGTCAAATCTTTTAAAATAAACTACCACATATTGTGAATAGTCAAAGGTCAAAAATGAACATTCAACATTTCTCTAAGTTATTACTATTATTTTTCTACAGAATATTCCATGAGACTAGTTTTCCCCAGAAACACTTGGGATACTGCTGCAAAATATGCTTCATATGACTTGTATTAAGCCAGAACATTCATTTGCCAGTAAGGAACAGAGATTCACACACAAGAAGAAGAAAAGCGTTGTGATCGTAGTTCCCATAACCAATTTGCACCTACCAATTCACAAAGCTACTATACCCACACATGCATCTGGTATCCAAACTTTCCACACCATTCTCCTGAAGAGATTGTCTCTCATTTCTATGTATCTAAATCTTATTAATTCTTAGAAACAATTTCTTCTAAAAGTTTGCCTTTTCAATGATCCAGTATTGACCACTGTAGGCTTCTTAAACTAACACATGTGTGCAAATTTTTTGCTTTCTTATTGACTATTTCATAAGTCTTTGCACTTGGATTGGTTTGACAGATGCTTAAAGCTCTGAATGCATCCAAGTAGTGGTGGCGCTGTGGGCGAAGGATCTAAGGTTTACTTCTAGTTACCTAGCATTTAACTGAGAAGGCAAAGAGCACAGGATACGTGGAGAAAAGTATGAGAATGAAAACACAAGAGGAAGTCAGGAACATAGGAATGATACTGGCTCCAGATAGAATGACCTGAAAACATGGCTAACCAATAGATCCAAAACACTATAACATATTAGTGGTATTTTTTTCAGAATTTTTCTTCTATATTGGTGTCTTTCTGAGGTTGTTTAAATGGTCAGGCTGGGAGATGAGACTTCTGTGGAAGAATAAAAGTTGTATATCATTGATGATTATATATTTGATTAGACTACATTTAACTGAGCACCATAATATTCGATTATATTAACAAAAGAGGATGAAGTGGCGAGTCATGGGATGTACAAGGGGCAAAAATTTGAAAGTGCTGAAGAGGAGGACAAAATGGTAAATATCCAGCATAAGCACAAAGGAATAGCACTTGACATGTAAAATTTCATTGTATTATTAAAGGCTTCTAGGGATCTTCTTAGGACCATCAATACAATCTATTTACTTCCCACTCCAAAGCTACTAAAAATAAAAAAATAAGTGTTAATCTTACAATGTTTACATAGCGTCAAGACAAATCTCCTGGGTATTCATCCTTTTAACTAGATTGCTTCCCTGCACCTTTCCATATCGAACTATCAGTGAGGAGGTGGAGATACATTGGCCTGGAAGGTGCATGGGATATTAGGGGTCACTTCTACAAGTGCAGTGCAGGAGAATAGGGGGTTTCTGAGAGAACAATGGGAGAATTGACTTTCTTCAAGAGAAAAAGGTCTCACTTGTTTAGTTTACACAGTAAATATTTAAGTATCACACACCAAGGATAGTACAGTTAAGGCCAAAGGAAAAAGAACAGTAGACTACAAGAGTGAGGTTATTAATCATGGAGCTGAGGTCCAGAGGAAAATAACAATTATAAAAAGGCTTGGAGAGGAAAGGAAATAGAGGAAAGCTAGAATTAAGGAACAAAACCAATGCAGGAAAGAGGGTATAGTGAGAATATATGGTTCTCTACATCTGCAGTGTGATTGAAGATCAAAACATAAGGCCTGTGGAATAAGCTACCTTAAGGGTTCAAATGTGTATTTAGGAAAAATGCCAGTGAATGTGGCATTGAGACATCCAGCCAGTTGTATCTGCTAGTTGCTTCAGTCTCTGTCTCTCAGGTCTGAGTCCAAGGCTTCTGGTGCTTAAGATGAGTATGTCTTCCTACACATATGGGCCTTCAAGTTATGACATTGTTTTGTTTTTTATTTAATTTAATTTAATTTTATTTTATTTTTGTATTTTAGGGAAGGGTCTACAGGGTGTTCAGGGTCTCACTACTAGATCAGACTTGTAGTGATCTGCCTGTTTACAGCCTCCCAAGAGCTGGGGTTACAAATGCGCAACACCATACCCAGTCTGAATCACTGTCTCAGTGTGCCCCGGGAGTGCGGCCAGCACAGCAGGCCTGGGAATCAAACCCCTGGCCCCTGCTCCTGCTTGTAGGTGTTTTAATCAGCTGAGCTATTTGGCTGACCTTATGAAGCTCTTTTGAATTCTGCATTTACCATTATATCTGTTCAAGGCCCATGCTTAATCATCTTAGTTTTTTCCTCTTCTAGCCAAGTTCAACAACTTAAGTCTAAGAGTTTTGATTTTATACCATCAGGAAAATTTATCTATGACCTACAGCTATCCCAGCTGCTCTCCTGTATGGGTAGAACTGGTTAGCAGACAGAGTTGTAATAATATGCCCTGGGTAATCACTAAGGAAAGCTGAGATCCTGCCTTAGAGCCCAGACTTCTTAAGATTCCACCAAGGATGTAAATATAATTCTACTTGACAATTAGACTGAGTAGCCCACATTCATCAGGACTTTAAAGTAATGCAGAGAGTAAAGCCAAACTGGGTAAAGGAGTCTGGTATTGTGCGGGGATGGGGGTCGAGGGGGACTACTCTGTCATTTGGCTTGAATTTAAATATTTGTTTTATTTTTTCTTGTTTTATTCTCCTTATGTCTCAGGCATTCATTGCATTGTTTTATATACATTATCACAATAATCTTGTAAGCTAGAAACTATTAACATTCCCTTACACAGATTTTGTAAAATTCAAAGCTCAGATAAATTGAAAAAAATCCCTGAGGTTGCAAAGATACTGAGAAGCAGAATCTGTATTAGATGTAGACCAATGTGGTTTCAAAATCTGTGCTTATAATCCTTATGGTACCTTGTCACCTTTCTTTTCCTTATGGTACTCAATGTATAATCTTATCTTCCACTTCAGAAAAATTTGCTCACAGTGCTTTCACCAGTACTCTTTAGCAAAAACAAACAAACAAACAAAAAACATTCAAATAGCTTTCTACCTTTCTACCATCACATTTAAGTTTGATCCACGAGGCTTCTTGTGATCTCTTTCTCCTTCCTCCAACCTGTGCTTTATTCATATTGAATTATTTCTAACTCCCTTACACAACTGTGTGCTATAATTCCACATCTTTGAGCTTGATCTTTCCTCTACCTGGTCTGCTTTCTCTGCCATCCTACCTACTCGGTGAGCTACTACTCATAGATGTGGTATGTGGGTGGTTGTTAACAAAGCTTTATTTAAAACATGATCTAGTTAATCAATGTGCAACAAATATATAAGCAGCTGCCTATCCTTTAACATAACCTTTAACATACTACTTCCTCTCTAAAGCTTTCCCTTCCTATTCATTAGTTTTTCTGTACTTGGAAAAATGAAGTCCGGGGAGATAGCTCAGTGGAATAAGGTCACGAGTTTGATTCCTGGTACAAAAAAATGACAGACCTGTCATCTGGTCTGTATCTTAAACAAAGAGCAACAAAAGTAAATATTTGAATATTCCTTCAAAAATCATGTTAAGTTTCTTGCAGAGGGGAACTGTGTCACCTCTTGCTTCTGTACTGGTGATGATACAGACAGGACTCCAACAGTACTTATTTAGTTTTTAAGAAAACAATTAAAGAAATAAAAAGAAGACTCATACCAGGAGATCAGTTGTGTACATCACAGGAAGGCAGATTTTAGCTCAGTATAAAATATTCAACATTTATCTGAAGGGAAAGTAGAGAGGCTTGCCTTTCAGGAGAGTACAGCATGGCACGGTTTAAGGAACTCCAATAAAGAAACATCCTACACTTCATTTTAGGTTAGACAAAGCAGCCTTCTGATTCTACTTACCTCAGATGGTGTGAGACAATCTAGAGAAACAATATAATAAAGTAATGATAACTATTATAGTGCATCTTATATGTGTGTACACAGCACTGACCATGTGCCAGGTCATTCTAAGTACTGTATAATGTATCAATACCGTTAATCACAGCAAGCTTCTGAAGTTATTCCCATTACTCCAGCAATACAATGAAAAGAAGGTAGAGTTGAGAATCATTTTGAGAAGTAGGATGCCTATGACATCCCAAAAGACCACAGAAAGGAAAGGGTCTAAAACCTCATCTTGCCAGTGACCCAGGAAGATTCCAAGCTCTCACATGTATTCTCTGGGGATACAGAGAATAAAAGCTGACCTATTTCTTGCAACAAGCCATTTTTTACATCCTAATAATGGAAGAGAACTTAGACTTCTATGAGAGAGCACTATATTTTTCATCGTCACATCAAGTTATGTGTGTAGAGTTGTGTTATGCATATGAATACAGACACACAACACATACATGTATAGATGTATGTATTAGATTTTCAAAAAAGTATTTTTGTACCAGTTCAGTTCCTATCTTACTGCATCAATTTAAATATATGGCTTTCCTTGATTGGATTGAGCTCTCTTGGAGGCAGGGACCATAGGGTGGTCACCCCTGATTCTCCAGAAAATAGCATAGATGAGATATTCAAAACTGTTGATAAATTGGA